GTACGAACTCTCAGTGGCGGTTGGGATGAGTTCGCGGAATACTCAGCGACCTTTGGAAGACACGTTAACCGTCTGGGACAAGGCGCGGACCGTTAAAGATGCTCATGCGACAGTGCAGACGACGCTTGGCATGCAAGAAGATCCATAACGGATCATTGTTCACTTGATATTTGTATACTTGATTAGGACTTCTTATTAGGAATAGACCCGAAAGGGTAAGCTTAAATACAGAACAGAATTTCCACTCAAGCACACAGAGCGACGTCCGGCTTCAAGGTAAGCGTCAGGTCAAGCTTGTTTGAGTGTGTTATGCCTGTCGGTGAACTCGAAGCTCTGTAGCGAGGGTTCATCCGGCAAGGCCAAGAGACTTTGTGTATTGGCCGATTATTATCGGGAGGTTTTTACGTGACGGCTTATTGTTGCCTATTTGCACGACTGGGAGTGCTTGAATTGCCTCCCTTTTATTTCTTCCAGCCGAGTGTTGAACACTCGGTGATCTCGTAAAAGGCTTACCCGTGCCTGGTACCCTTCCGCTGTTGGGACCACGAGGATTCAAAACACCTGCTAGCTTTGCTCGTGCTAGTAGCGTGTTCTTATTTTACTGGTTGGCCTATATAAGTAGTTTACAAGGTCCAGTTTGTCCCGGTGCAAGGGCAGAACTGGGGTCTTCAGGTCCGCCCGAACGATCGTTTACTATCCTAGTAGACGTATTGTTGTGGGAACATCCTAACTACATCTGTAGCTAGAGTTCACGTGGGATTTCCAACACCACAGTTGGCGAAGGACGGTATCCCTAGGCGACCTGGATATGTGTCAGTGGGATCCCGCCGCTACAAAGAATGGCAGAATCTGGTGTATGAGGCGACTACCGAGATCGAATCCCTCGGAGAGGTGGAGCTCCCGGCGGAGCCAACTGGCCCCTTGGTGGATCGGCCTTCATATCCAACTCCGCGAAAGATCCTGCAGAGGGATCGACGGGTTGAGATCCAAGCAATGGAGGTTGGATCCACGACGGGGGACGATCCCCAGAGTCGGCCCTTAGATAACGCAGGGTCGGTGGATGAAGGATTGCAGAGGGCTAAAGCCGAACAGCCGGATTCCGCTGATCCACAAGTGGATCCAAGCTTTCCATTGGATAAAGTGCCTGGATCCCTATCGAGAGTGGCAACACTAGTCAAACCAGAAGCGTCGGGCGCG